GAAATTTTTTTGGGGGGGAGAAAAAAAAGAGGAAAAAAAAAAAGGGTGGGGGGGGGGGGGGGTGCCCACCACCAAAACCATTGGATTTTGGCGTGCAATTTTTTTTCCTTATCCCCTTTAAAACTTCCTTTTTTCAGTTGGTTTCCCCCGGTGTTCCGGGGAAGGGGCATTTTTTCGGGGTCGGATTTTTTCCCCTCCCTTTACAACCCTACCAATTATCTTTACCCCCTCTTTTTTTTTTTTTTCTTCTTCCTCACTCTCTCGCTCTTGGTTTCCTTTACTCCTTTACTACCCTATTGAATCATAAGGTATCCTTTTCTGGACGGAGGGTTATTCACTCATTCCCCTCGTTCTCGTGCCCTTTCTTACCCCCCCGCATATCACTACCTGCCTAAGGGGGGGGAAGATACTTGCCAAAAAAAAAAAAAAAAAAAGAATGCTTTGAATAGGCAGAGTACAGTAAGTACAGTTTGAACGACTCATACCGCAACAATGGCCCATATACTCGTACTCAAACAGATATTCTAATATCCTACTGTTATCTAGACAAAAGGACCCCCACCATACCCGATTCGGTATTGCACTCTACTATTGTACGGTACAGGTGCAGTGCTCGGGTGTGTCCATAAAAATCGGAAAAGTATATCTCTTGTCTCTATAGAAATTTTATGGGATCAGGAGAAATAGTTTTCCAATTTTTACTGATGCACCCGAGCACAACTCCAATGGCACAAAAATGGAACCCACCCCCCTCACAGGGTCCCTATCAACGAGCGCACAGGGTTTGTACAGTACCCGTACGGGCACGATGCAATGAGAGAAGCACTTTCTCCCAACTCGAGCCCAACCTGTTCCATACGTCAGAAAAGTGAATCATATGCGCCTATAGTAAGACACAGCACAACACCGCACAGCGCCGAAGTTTGGAGTAACCTTAAAGACTCAATGTCGTCGTCGGTGAGTGGCATCTAATATGGATGGATGAGATGGGGGGAAGGATTTACAGTACTGCGCTTGAGTTGTCGGTACAGTACGACCGCTGTGAGCATCCTACGGTACGGAACTGTACCGGTCCAATTACAGTGTGGTGCACACATTTAATCGCGGGCAAGGGGAATGTCGCAATACTCCAAAACACCCAGTAAGAGCCATATAAATAACTAAACCATGTATTAGAGTCAGCACCTCTGCCCCCCCAGAAGGGATATATGGGATACCGGTGGGCAGAGTGGCGTAAGAAATCTGGCGGTTCGTTTAGTCCGGCGGATTAACGAAATTGCGAAACCCAACCGATGAGATCCAACACGCCCAATGGGCTCAGGCTATATATATGCTTGTACCGTGTCAAGAAATCAGTAATCTATCCCGAGAGCCCTTGTCCCTGGATACGGAGATTGAAGGCCTTCCCGGAGATAGCGAATCACAAGAGTTCTTATGGTATCTTATCGTACTGTCTCACCACGACCACCGCTTCAAAAGGGTTCGTTGGGTTGGGTTTAGGGGAAAGGGGGGGAGTCTGCGCTTTTCCTTCCTGCCTTCCTCTCATTCGGGGTTGTAATATGGACTTTCGGTCCATGATGATCCTCTCCCGATTTAATGGGATTGCAAACCAGCTAGGGTCATGGGCCGAGCATGTATGATATGATAGGCTGATGCGATAGTGTATGTACTGTACTAACGCAAGAGACACGGTATTTCCCTCGATTCTTGCCCCTTGGACTAACAGTCTACGTCCAGCGCTCTATGGTAGGGTATCCCGGGGATTTCACGGCGCTGTACTGCGCTGTAGTTGCAGCTGGGGATGTTTCCAATCTCCAATATAAGCCCCTTCGATATGCCTACGGTATATGGGCCCGCGTCGCATTTTTCTTCTTCTCCAAACGTGGTCGTCTACTTTGACTACCCGAGTATTCTTATCTATTAAGAGCGATGGGAGGT